ATAACGCAGGAACGCGTTTTCCTTCTTGCAAAATGTGTATACGCGATTCCTGTGAGATTTTAATATTTGCAGTAGTGTAATCGTAGATTTTTGGGAAAAATTATTGTTTGTTCATACAAATTTTAAAATTCGTGTTCTTACTAACAACAGGATATGAAATACCCCCGACATGTTTTATTTTTTAACATTTGATTTTTATTTATTCGAAAGAATTTATTTCCAATGAAATTTTTATAAAGTTAAATAACTTTTTAAGAATCTATGTGTTTTATTTTTACTTTACATTATTTTATTTTATCTCGTGTTTTTATATTAGAAATATTTATTCATTAGAAATGTGGTTACTGATTTACCAAAAAAGAAAAAAAAAGAAAAAGGAAACCTTGAATAATAAAAAAAAAAAGAAAAAAGAAAAACGTACGAAAACAGATTTGTTAGCTACTCTAGAAGTTTGATGGGACCATAAGTGATCGTAATTCTCGCATGACCACCCCCAATTAATGTTCGGCAATTTGCGAGAAGCTGAATCGCACACTTTGATCGTTTCCAATTATCATCGACGAGCCTATAATTACTCGTCCCATCTAGTTTATCGCAGGCGACCGAGCAAACGAAACAGTTAATATAAACGTCGATATTAATTTAATTCCTTATTCTTGACAACGTAAACGTCAAATTTTTATCCATGCTCGATTAACTCTTATATTTTCTGATATAATATTATTTTTTGCATTTCTTTTTACACAGATTTTAGTTACTTTTGCTGTTGAATTTTTTTTCCTTTTTTGTTCTTTTTAGTAAATTTAGATTATCGTCGTTTCAATACGCGTTATATTTTTTTTTTTTTTACAAAAGAAAGACGATAAATTGCAAAGTATTACATCCTTGTCTCGTTTCGGTCGCGTACCATAGCAAAATCGATATCATCGAATTAATTGACCCACATTGACGTGGAGACCTCGCGAACATTTCTTTAAATACTCTCTTATAAAAGTCCAATATAATACTAATGCACTTAAGTACATATATATGCGTATACGAAACATCTCGACTGCATTTTGAAGGACATCCCTAATGTCGGTGCTAATAAAAACGATTTACGTTCTTTCACGCTTTATTTGATCTTTCAATCGAATTTCAAAATGAAGGAATAGAAAAAATCGTGAGATTATTTTTCATCAAATCTTAACGAAATTTAACAGAAATACGTGTTGTATTTACTTCGAAAAATCTTGGCACCAGACAAAAAGTATATTTGCGAATTTATTTAGCATCTTTCAAGAATTTTCTCTATCTTTCTACATCTCTATTTACCTATCTTGACTTTCCGAGAGTTGGCACACGACGATCCTGAATAAAAAGGACGAAGGACGAGAATCCTGTTTCGATCCACAGCATACACACATACATATATGGATACGCATACACATATACGCAAAAGGCCATCAAATTTCCCCTAAGGTTTTGTGGCTTACATCTATTTTTCGTAAATAATGATAACCTGAGTAATAATACTTAGTTTCGTGCAATTAAGATTTATCTTTATTTTACTATACCATCTGTCTATCTTTTACTTTCTTTTTGAATTATCTACTTTTTGTGTATTTTATCAGAAGTTATAAATTATTCGTAATGGACATCTCAACGATTGCAGGATTCGTCATTTGTTTTGATGACTTATAAGTTGAAATGATATAGAAATATTTTTTCTGGATACACATATATACGTATATAAATTTTATATACCGTATATACGTATATAGATATATAAAAAAAGAATTGATTTTACGTATTTTCTTTTCATTTTTTTTTCTTTTTTTTTCAAGAGAATGTATCCATTAATGTGATTGTCCCTTGCACATAGAAATACAAATTGATGTTTATATGTAAAGTAAATATTGCCAGTAAAGATTACAACTATAGTATATAGTGATTTAACGAATCGAGACTGACAAATCGTTGAGTGTTCAGAAAATTAGTGACACACGTTCACGTAGCGGAAAGTTTCGATGCGAATCGTGCATGCATTTACAAAAAAAAAAAAAAAATAAAACAACAAGAAAAAAATAAATAACAAATAAAATTCAATTAAAATATTCTCGGTTAACGTCAAAAATTAATTACACAAAAAATCAATGTCAGTAATATTTGTTTTCTCTTGTAGCGTAAACTTTGTATTTTTTTGTTCAAAGCTCAAAGGCCATATAGAAATTATGTGCACTCGTTATTCTCCTTTTTTCATTTTCACATTAATTTTCTTTCACGTTATTCGTACGTGACACAACAAAGCGTGAGACTAGTAAATCCATCTAGGAATAGTATCATCACCAAAATCATTTTGCAACATTTTTAACTCTCTTTATCACAATGCAAATATCAACGTCATCGACGCGTCTTGAGATCAATGAATGTTCTTTATCTCGAATATTCTTTTTTATTTTTTTTCTCTTTTTAGAAAGGTCGTGTAAGTCAAAATAGTATATACTTACATATATGTATACATATATTTGTTGTGTACATATGCATATACAATGCAAGGCGAGATAGTAAAAGTAAACTCGTTTCGTAGAATAATCGTCGTTCGTGAATTTTGCAACTCGAATTTTTGTACTTTTGTTTTGTAACTACATACGTTGCGAATTATCTTCGAACAAATTTTTCTATAACCAAATCGTGGATCAAAGTTTGAAGGAATTTTTTTTTAATGAAAAAAAAATGGAAAAAAAAACTTTTTACAAAATTTATCAATAACCTTGTGTACTTTGAGCCGCGGTTTTGCGAATATACGGGTATAACTGCTTTTTATCGTGGAGGTCAGGTTCGATCAGAAAAAAAAGACCATTTACCATATCCATTCTATCGTTTTTCATATTACTCGATACGAAACCTGTTGTTTCATCGAACGAGTTACCATTCGCCGATAACATTTTTTTTCTTAATTGGTTATTTTATATGTTGAATTTGTTTTCATACTTTTTGTTCATTTTATTTGTATTCACTTATTATTATTATTGTACTTCTATTATTATGACTGTTAATTGAGATTTAAAATTCTGAAATCCTTTTAGTCATAAGATCTTCTTATTACTGCTCCTAAAATTTCTCGTTTCTTACGGACCCTTTTCTGACTCTTTACAAACTCTCTAAATCCAACCTTCACCCTTTTCTTTGGTATATCTTTCGAAATAAATTCAAAAATCTATTCACTACCTATAAAAATCTCTTGAAGTATGCTTAACAAATTCAACGAAATATACGTAAATAAACCTCAACTTTGAAATTCCTGAATTATTACTGTCTTCTTAAAAGAACTCATATCATGTCATCCTATGTATATATTCCTGATTCTCTGTCATGTAATAATTCTTTTTTCATTTTTCTGAACATAATTCAGGAAAAAAAAACTTATATATATGCATATTAAAGTATTTTAAGCTAGATATGCAAATAATAAATTTGACACGCGACATACAATGCAAATACAGTATAAAATGAGATACAAAAAAGAAATTACATTTCTTTAGAAAAATGGCAAGCTGTAATTTGTTCAAGGAAGGGTAGGTTTTAGCTTCAATTTTTACTGCAAATTTATTTCTTATTTTTATCCTTGAAGTATAAACGTTTATTTTTATCCGTGATTTTTTCCCAATACCGAACATATTATCATTGCATAGAGATTTGAATTCAGTTATTCGTGAAATTCGTTTTGTGCGCAGCAAAAGAATACTGTTATCTTACTGCATAGAACACACATACATATGTGCTGTTAAGATGAGATGATTGGTACAACGACAAACATTGGATAATATTATTTCCACTATTACTAATATTCTTATATCCGTAACGTTCTGCTTTTGACATTTCGGATAAATACGTATACACGATAATATATAAATTCAAAATCAATGCATCTCGTGGAAAAAAGATAACAAAGACGTTTCTATCTCGAAATATATATTTTTCATGATATTTGAGGAAAAAAATTTTCAATCTGACATTCTACGAAAAGCTTCTATTATTTTAGACTTGTTTTTCAAACATTTTATTAAGAAAATCTTTTACGAGAGATAGAATTGAAACAAAAGTTGAAATTCTTGTAAAATCTTTTGTTGTCGTAGACAATCAAAAGAGAAATGCACAGGACGAATTTTATGTTCTTTTTTAAAAATGGATAAAACGAAAGGAGAATTATAAAATGTATTTGTGTAGTATAATATAGGTGCATTTAGAAAAGACAATCGTGATCTAAGACACGTAGGCTGGATATATCCACGCAACATACGTAAATTTATACTTAAATATAAATTAAATACTTATACAGGATGTTTCAGAATAATTATTCATCATTTTAAGACGAGAAAAAGTAAACGTAATTAATTAAATATTATACTTTATCGTGATAATTATAAAAGTCATAAAATCATACGATACAAAAAAAATGAGGATTGGATTTATTATCTCTAAAAATTCCAATTAATTATTCTAGAATAACCCATTTATGGATATAAGTATTATGAATTCATTTACGTACGCGTAAGCTATGAGTCATTTATGATTTCTTTCTGACAAACTTTTTACGCACAAAAATACTCAAAAATCGTATAACGTGTTCGTGATAATTACAATTGATCGAAAAAATAATAAAAGTTTACGATCATATTATTATCATATGTTTTATATAAAATATTAAAAAAAAAAAAAACAAATAGATAATTATCATATTTTATCGTAGAAATAATTTACGATGATGTTGAAATGTCATAAAATGTCTATTAGGTTTATTTTAGAAGACCCATTATAGGTAAACGAGTTTTCTTGAAAATATTTTTGTCAACAATCAGATGATTGCAAGGCACATCAATTTAATACTGACATTTTCACGATTTATCATTCATATAAATAAATATATATAATTAATAGTACATTTAATTATTATAAATATTTTATTTCTACGTATATAAATATATATATATGATATATAAATAGATGCATATATTTTATTTTACAATATATCAGCAGTCTCAAAAATCCATTGGAATTTAAATCGAAATATGGTCGTCTCATTGTAACTATGGTAAAACATGTTTTCACTCTACATATAAATATAAAAATCGAAACTCATTTTTCCTACATATGATAGGCGTTTTATATATCTGTCTTATTTATTTATTTATTCGTACTTTGTTTTTCTTTTTAACATACTTTTTCCCAGTTTCCTGCCAAGCGACAAAAATCCCTCTGATATTGACCTATGCATTGTGCAGTTGCTATTTTTATCCTGGATTCTCCGACACGACACTTCCGATGTTTTTCCATATTTTATGCTTTCCGTCACTATAGTGTCGATTATTCTTCCTATCTGTTGAAAAGTGTATATGTATTTCTTTTGATTAATTCACAATAAAAATATTTCTTTTACATCCGTTTTTGTCATTGATAATTCCATTAAAAGAAAACATTTATCTCGTATCATTTATATCTACTAAAATTCGTGTATGTTTTTTTTTCTCTTTGTTCTTTTAAGATAATTTTAACGAGAAAGTATTTATCAATTAACGATATTTAAATATTTTCTCAAACAAATTAAAAACAAAAATTAGATACTTCCCGTTGACTCATCAACGAGTACTTTTTCTTTTTCTTCTTACAAATTCAGTAATTAAAGCGTTCCGATTATAAATACCTTATTTTTAATTCTTTTTTTTTTCTACAAGTCAGAAATATCATCAATTTCTTTTTTAAATTCTAACTATTCCTGGATTTATTTTTTCGTTCGAATAAATGCATAAATACGATAAATTCCAAGAGATCTAACTTTAAGTAGTACAAGCATTATTCAACTTCGTTCGTACACCGCCAATCCAGTGGATTTTTCTCTTTTGACTTTCGAACGTCGTAAATTTACACGTTCGATTTTTTGAAGTATTATTCCTGTGAGAACTTTCATATGCGAAAGGTCGGCGTTCTCGCAAAATCGCGAACTTCGCTTAAAGTACGCTGTCTCAACTTCGTTTCCGGTTAACTCGAGTTTCGCGAACGGAGACCGGAAGTCTGACTGGGAATGAAGAAAAACAAGCAAACACACTTAGAATCATGAATTTATCCTACAGAAGGATTACTTTATTTGGTTTGACATTGAACCTAAAGAATAAGCAAACTTTACCGCCTACAGATGTAACACCCACTTCGTTAATTTATTATATTTTTATTTACTCGTTTAATAAAATGTCGAACTTTTGTAAAAAATCAAAATTATTATGAAAACTATAAAATAATATATTTAATATATTTAATATAAAATTATAATAAAATAATATATTTATGTTTGAATTACTTTTGCAATACGTACGAGTTAATTTTATTTAATTTATAGTATAACAAATTTTTAAAAAATTAAAAATTATTTTTTTTAAAAGAGAATCTATATATTTCAAATTTTGAGATGTTTACTTTTTATTTTAGACATTGAATCTAAAGAATAAGCAAACTTTACCGCCTACAGATGTAACACCCACTTCACTAATTTATTATATTTTTATTTACTCGTTTAATAAAATGTCAAAGTTTTGTAAAAAATCAAAATTATTATGAAAACTATAAAATAATATATTTATGTTTGAATTACTTTTGCAATACGTACGCGAGTTAATTTATTTAATTTATCGTATAAAAAATTTTTAAAAAATTAGAAATTATTTTTTTAAAAAAGAATCTATATATTCCAAATTATGAAATGTTTACTTTTTATTCACTTACTGAGATGAACGATAGACTTATCGATAAATAGATTAAAATACAAGGTCCACATCGTTTAATTTTTCTAAATTTTCTTTGTCAGATCAATATCTTTAATATTATATAACAAAGATAAACGTCTAAGGTTCAACTATATCGATATCGATGCATTATCGAATTATTCACGAATTTTCTTATCATTTCTTGTAGGAGAAATAAAAACAGCATTAACGTCATTACGATAACCTATTGTACGTATAAATACCAAGTAAAGATTCATTTTCAAGAAATGACGCGAATACTCGGTGGCATGATGCTTTCTAATCAAGACTATGACAGTCGTATTTTAGAAAAAAAAAGAACAGACAAAAAAATATATTTATATTATTACTCAATCCAAAACATTTTTGTAATTCAACGATTAATAAGTTTCGATTTCGTCGATAGAAGGAAACGAAATTATTCTGGCGAATGAGTTCTTTAAAAAAAAAAAAAAAATTAAAAAAGAAGAAGGAAAAAAATCGAACAATCGACCCTGAATGAAAAATGAACTAACATTTTGTAGACGATTCATTTCATTATTACGTAAACGTCTCACCAACTGTATCGATAATTATATGTCTGACTGATTATCCGTGTCACATACTCGCCACACACTCGTTACACGAGTTAGATAGGTATGTGAATAAATATAAAATGCACAGGCTTATATAGAATATTGATATGATCACGTGTAAGAACACGCTTATGTCAAGTCCAAGCACTGTTTAAAAACGTTTATACGCATCGTGGAAGACGCGTGCCACGAATCAATACATCAATACTGATTATGTTTGTTCGTCTATTGAGTATCATCTAAATGTATCATCTATTCGCGTACATAAACAAGTACATCCATTTTGTATAATAATATTTATTGCATAATTACTATTTTAAATATATATTCTATGCCCATGTCGTTTTTGAACAAATGTTATTTGTTTATTATTATCATGCTGTTTGTATCGAAAATAATTATATACGGTCATAGAACGCAAAGTATTCCAAACTTTTCTTCACATCGGACTTATACTTATTGCAATATTGTTTTTTATCCAGTTTATTCTGTTACGTCAAACTTCATAATAATAATAATAATAATAACCTCAGTTAAAACGAAATTTAATTAATATTTTTCCAAGGGCTTGTACTTGTTTTACCGCGGACAGGTACCGAGTTGTGTATATTACAGTTTATAAAAACATTTACGTAATTTATATATTTTATATAACTTTTTCTTTTTATCTAGCTGACAATTTAATTTATTCATCAAAGAAAATGTTCATATTATAAAATATAATATATATATATATATATATATATATAATGTATTGCAAACATATAACTTCATTAATGCAATTGTTTTCCTATGTATTTTATTTAAAACTGACAAAAAGATCATTTGACCAGGAAATTAGGTTCATACCAAAAATGATACCCATGTGGGACGAAATATGTTAATGGTTTTATCCTTTCCACAATGTTTTCATATTATGCAGTAACCAATGAAGTAGCATCGTTTAATGCTAAATGTCCTACGACAGGTCAAATGACCGGTTCTTAATTTAAAATTTAAATTCTCCATTTAGCTTTATGACAGTTATAAATATAAAATTTCTTTTTTTCAATTATTATTCAAGCCAGTCACACATCAATAATTGTTATTTTATATTACATTGTATTAAAATGTAATATAAACGTTAAAATTCGGTCGTTTGACCGGTTACGGTATAAATAAGCATACATAATTGATTTAAAGTTACGACGATAAAATTCTCGTGACCATTGGATGACCAAATATCTTAATAATAATTCTAAATAATAACTTTTTAACGTTAATCTTATTACAAAATAAGAATTTGTTTGTCTTTTTTTTTAAGATAAAATAATGAAGAGAGAAAGAAAAAGTTGTTAATTTATCCGTTTATAATTTATCTTTTAATTATATAATATAATAAACATTATACAATAAGAATATTGAATTGAATTATTCTCGTTTAAAAATTTGTTGTTAGTGAAAAAATAGTAAAAGTAATTGTTGTTTGTAACAAATATAGATAAAAGTATCTACGTATCTAACTTATGTTTGGTTAATGAAAATGATGATAATATATTAATGATTCTTCGCAGACCGAGTGGTGCGTACATTTAAACAAAAGCCTTTATCAAATACTAACTGCATAGTAACTAACAAGTAAACGAAAAGTATACAACGAAATAGGTGTCTACGATTAGCGGCAAACTGTTATCATTTAGAGCTCGTTACGATGTGTAATAGTAGAGAGTAATAAAGGATATCTGCTTATATTTATGAACGATCGTATATTAATCATGATTGTACACACAGTCGGAGATAAGAGAGAACTCTGCGAATGGAAAGGAATGCGTGTGCGTGTATATTAATTACAATTAAAACTAATAATTAATTTTTTAATTTATACGACTAGATCTCATGAAGAATTTATTTGAATTCGAGTAAAATAATTATTCCTCTTTTTTTTTATTTTCTCGTGAATCGTTAATTACGATAAAGAAAGCAAAATTATCTATAACGTGGTAGTCATCGTGTTTTCTATAAATCATCAAGAAAGAAATTAAACACGGTGGAGTTAATTTTGTAAAAACAGGGATAGGTGTCAAAAGTAGTTGTTAAAAGTAGGTCAATATGTTTGCAACGATTCATTCTAATGCAAAACCGAAAAAAATAGGTAACTTTATCAAGGAATAATGAAAATGTTTCTTTTTTGCCGTTGACGATCAACGCAAATATTTCATTATCTAAAAAGTTTTTTTTTTTTTTTATTTAATACAAACACAAACACACACAACAGAGGGATTAAGAAAATTTTACTTTTTGGTTTTATCTTAAAATACGTTGGTTAAACGTAGAATAATAATAACAACAAGAAAAAAGAAATATAATCGTGTACGAGAGAATTGAATCGAATTCGACAATTTCACGGAATTAAACTGTACGTGTGTGCTCAATGTCGATCTTCGATCAAAAATAAAGATAGATAGATGAAAGAGAATGAGAAAGAGAAGCTTTGATAAATCAAAAGAAATAATTCGCCGAAATTGAAAAATCACTTCGTGGAAAATATATATATACCTATATATTTTTTTTTTCTCGAAGTGGCCGGATGCAGTTTCGTCGATCCATCTTACAAGGTCGAATTTAACTCGACTCGAATTCCGTAATCATTTTTGGCACGTGTATTTTCTACCAGCTGCTTGAATTCTCACGTTTAACGATTTTCCATTGAACGTTGTTGCATTCTACCAAATCGACCGGCAACTTTCTAATTAATTTTTATCAATACAAATTATGATTTCACGTGTCATTACATCATTTTCGTGCAGGTTGTTAATTACCGTGAAAGAGACCGATGAAATAAGAGAAAGAGAGAATGAGAGAGTAAACAAAAAAAAGAAAAGAACAAAAGAAACAAAATAAAGTAAGATGAGAGAATAATGCGAAGTAGCACACGTGGAATAGGTAAGATAAGAGAATAATAACCGTGTAACCAATCAAAAAACTAATGACGCAAACGTTACTTAAATGTGCCGTTTTTAAAAACGACTTTGCACAGAGATAGGAACAAAGTACGTTCACCAGGTAGACAAATTACTGTGATTACGTTTATAGTAGCTCGATTTATTGCCCTCACCTTTGCTTTAAGTATACACGACGTATGCATAGGTCAAGTACGACGTTCAACACCTACGTACTATATGTATATAAACGAGAAAAAGAGAGAGGGAAAGAGAAAGAAAAGGGTTATTTTTTACTGGGTATATCACAACACATAGCAAACCATCTTTCAATTCTTACCACTACAAAATAATACGTTCAGTTATATATAACTGTTTACCATGACATAATAATCGTTCTTCTTTATCATAATGTGTTACACTCGTTCGCTAAGATAAATTGTGATATACTAATTAGCTCAACGTCAAGTGTATAATATCTTGTTTTTTAATTAACAACCGAGTCTCAATGTCTCTCTTTGACTTGTACAGACCATAGAGATAGAAAAAAAAAAGAAAGTGCGATATACAGGGTGAATCGCGTTATAAACTATTGCTTCGTTGTAATCCATATTTTAGCGATATAAAAGCGACCAAAATATTTGATGGGAAGTTATTATTTTTATTTACATTTTTTTTTTATTCCGTTGATACGGACAGATTTCGATGTCCATTTTATTGAACGTTTATTTGAATTTTTCTGTCTAATCCTCATATCATCGCAGCGTTGATAGTAAACAACGTTTTTACAGTGTGACTGCATTTGCTCTTATATTTTGATTTTCATAGTCTCTTTTTTTTATTTTTTTTTTTTTTATTTTCGTTATTGTAACCACGGTATTGGAAAAACCAGTCACTCAGAGTTATGCACACACTCTCACATAATACCCGCACGCAAGCTCGAAAACAATTCTTGCTGCTTTTTGTTTTGTTTTTTTTTTTTTTTTTTTTTTTACGAGAGAACAAACAAAGTGACATTTATATTTCCATCCTCTATGATAAAATAAAACTAACATAATAATATGACATTTTATATTTTACATTAAAAACTTACAATGTACGAAGAAATTAATAATTATTGGTATAAAGATTATTTATTTATCTAGAATATGTAAATAAATAAAAAAAAATCGAATTATACAGTTATGTTATATAGAATCAGATGTAAGAAAATAATTATATCGAGATCGATGGATTGATCCATAAGATAATGATTTATTATGCCAATTAATTTCTAACAACAATAATCGTAAGATTGAAACGAAGAACATCTGTACATATTTACACGTGTTGTAACAGTCTCGAGGATTAAATCGAGAAATTCATTAATTCTCGAGGTCGTTTTCGTCTAATATTTTTTTTTCCTATACCTAATCAGGATAAGCTAAAAAGCGTTCTCACTTGAAACTATCACACCGAAATATAAAATTATACCATAATTTTCCTTTTCTAATAAAATTCACTTAGATGAAAGGTAAAACGTTCGTAAAAACAAATCCGTAAATTTAAGAAAACAAAAAGAGACTAAAAGAAATAAAATATAAATAAAAAGGAAAAGTATTACAGAAGTATTACAGTAACAAAATAATAATGGCGAGTAAGATATGTGCGGGTGTGTAATATAAAAGTAAAGAATAAAAAACTAACATAGGATTAAAAAAGAAGTAATAATATTAAATTTGTCTGTATGTTTCACGTATTTGAAAAAAATATATTGTAAAAGAAGAGAGAGAGAAAAAGAGAGAGTTGAAACTTACGAATGAATATCATTAAATCGCATCATTGTGATTCGTATCAGTCGTAAAAAAGAAAAGAAAGAAGACAGAACTAATAACATTCCAATGTTCATTACTACTCGATTTATGTTTTTCCTGTCTCTTATTTTATTTTATCTTATTTTATTTCTTTTCTTTTTATCTTAAATACCGTTGAAAAGTACGAGAGAATTCCGGTTTTTTATTTAAAGAATTTGCCGGCTTCTCCATTTTCAATCACACACGATGGGAAATTAATTTGCATGATTTCGTACCCGTTGATTATTCTACTGTTCTCTATTGACGATTGCACAATTTCGAATGTATAATCTTGAGAGAAATTATATTTATTTATCGGTTTTTAATGTGTACGAACTTTTATATTTGTCATGTAA